ATGGAGTTCGGCCTAGACAAATGTGCCACAGTGGCATTAAAGAAAGGGAAAATATCTGGATTGTTGTAGGTTTTTTCAGGCTATATGGCCATGTTCTAGAGGCATTATCTCCTGACGTTTCGCCTGCATCTATGGCAAGCGTCCTCAGAGGTAGTGAGGTCTGTTGGAACTAGGCAAATGGGTTTATATATCTGTGGAATGACCAGGGTGGGACAAAGGACTCTTGTCTGCTGGCCGTGGTGTGAATGTTTCAACTGACCACCTTGATTAGCATTTGATAGCCTGGCAGTGCCTGGAGCAATCTTTTGTTGAGAGGTGCCTGGTTGTTTCCTCTCTGCTGTTTTGCTGTTTTAATTTTAGAGTTTTCAACAGACAATTTCAACAGAAAGGAAGAGACAATGAAAATGAAGAAAATTTGGCTACCAGTATTAAAAAAACTCTAAAATGTCACGGCATTAGAAAGGTTGAGAACCTCTGTTATAGAAGAATGCTAAAGACTACAACTCCCATGATTCCATCAAAAAGCCAGGATTGCAGGTCCATTTGGACAAACAACTATTACTGAAAAGTGCTTTGAAAACTTCTCTAGATTCATAGCTCTCAACTCTTGGTCTATCAGCAAAGAATAAGGAACATCTCTGTGGACTTTCGACATGTATTGCTTCACAAAAAAGGATTCCCCTTCTATGTAGGTTCTCCTGCATCCCAGTCTCAGTAACTTACCTATGTCAGTTTCGATTTCATGAAGATTCTTTGCTGATTCAGCCAGTACTTGTGCCGCCTTCTCCGCCTCTATAAGTATTTCAGCATCTGAAAGATTGGCAATAATTTAAGTTAGTATGGACCTTGGACTGCTCAACACATTTGTTTTTTTTAAAAAAATCAACAAGCTCAACCACTCTAGACTGAATTCTATAGAACTAAGGGAGTTCCACTTTAATTCACTCATTTTGGGAGCTTTTCCGAGCACAATTCAAAGAGCTGGACTTGGCCTATTAAACCCTATACGGTTCCTGCGCAGTTCACTTGTCCAAACGTATCTCCCTCTACGTTCCATCTTGTAGTTAAAGACCAACTGGGGAGGCCCTGCTTTCGGTCCCACCAGCTTCGCAAACACGTCTGGTGGGGACGAGGGACAGGGCCTTTTCGGTAGTGACCCCCCGCTTGTGGAATTCGCTCCCCAGCGAGATCAGGTAGGCCACTTCCCTTCTTTCCTTTAGGAAGAAACTGAAATCATGGTTTTGGAACCAGGCCTTTTCCAGACCTCTTCTGCAGAGGGAGGTAAAGAGAGCAACAGGGTGGCTCTTCCTCCCTCCTTACCCTCTTTACCTTCCTCTTCCTCCTCATGGTAGCCGCCGGTCCGTTTTGCTGCCACTTGGTAGCAAGAGACCCCAACAGCAACCAGGAGGAGGGAGGTAAAGAGAGCAACGGGGTGGCTCTTCCTCCCTCCTTGCCCTCTTTACTTCCTCTTCCTCCTCATAGTAGCTGTCAGTCCTTTTTGCTGCCACTTGGTAGCAAGAGACCCCAACGGCAACCAGGAGGAGGGAGGTAAAGAGAGCAACGGGGTGGTTCTTTACTCATGCCACTTGGTAGCAAGAGACCCCAACGGCAACCAAGGCTTAACCCTTATTATCCAGTCTGGTGTCCTTGCCCTTAGCAAAACTATAAGTTACTATCTCTAATTTGGGGGGGGGGGAGGGGTCATGTTCAACTTCAGAATCTTAGAAGAGTTGGAGGTGACCACATGAGATATCCAGTCCCAACCTCTTCTGAGTCCCTCTCGGGGTGAGAAAAGCGGTATACTAATATATAAATAACTTCTGCCAAGCAAGGAAAGTACAATCACAGTACCCCCAACAGGTTGGAAATAAAATGCCTGGAAATACGAGGGGTATTTTTTAAGTAAGGTCCATTTTGTTGTAGACACTAGTAGTTCGTGCGCATACCGCAACGAGCGCGTGCGTCGTGTACCGGCATGCCTCAGGAACAACTGTGCTCTGTAGCTCACCTGTACGGTTCTGTTCTGTGCTTTAAAAATGTTTAAGACTCTCAACTCACCCTCCGCATGTGAGGTTCGCTCAGTGATACGGTTTTTGTCAGCAAGGAACCTGCCTGCTACAGAAATTCATCAACAGACTTGTGAAGTGTATGGTGATACTGTTATGAGTGAAAGCAAAGTGCGTAAGTCGGTATGACAATTCAAAGATGGCCGTGACAACATCCAGGATGAGGACCGCTCCGGTCGCCCTTCTTTGATTACAGACGATTTGATTTGATCGCACACTCAAATCTTTGGTTTTTGTGGTCCTCTGTTAGGAGTTTCGGGACCCAACGGGAGCACCGTTTCCTAAACTTTAGGTCTTCAGAAACAATGTTGTAAAGCACTGATCTCGACACGTCAGGAAATTCATTTGAGAGACCTGTTATTGTGAAGCGTCTGTTCTCATGAATCCTCGCTTCAACTGAAGCCACCAAATCATCTGTAATCAAAGAAGGGCGACCGGAGCAGTCCTCATCATGGATGTTGTCACAGCCATCTTTGAATTGTCGTACCCACTTACACACTTTGCTTTCACTCATAACAGTATCACTATACACTTCACAAATCTGTCGATGAATTTCTGTAGCAGGCAGGTTCCTTGCTGGCAAAAACCGTATCACTGAGCGAACCTCACATGCGGAGGGTGAGTTGATAGTATTAAACATTTTTAAAGCACAGAACAGAACCGTACAGGTTAGCTACAGAGCACAGTTGTTCCTGAGGCATGCCGGTACACAATGCACGTGCTCATTGCGGTATGCACGCGAACTACTAGTGTCTACAACAAAACAGACCTTGCTTAAAAAATACCCCTCGTAAATTCTGCTTGGCAGAATCCCAGGTAGAGGAACACATAGGGATGGTGGAGAAGATTAGAATTCATTCCTTACCATTCAACTCAAGGAGGGATTCATTTCTTCTGATCATAAATTCTCTAACAATCTCCACTGCCCTACGCAAGTTGCTTGAATTGTCCTCCACCATAGCGACTAATGGAAAGGGAGAAATTTGTTACTCTCTGCTCTTTGTCTCTGCTTGCGTATTCCTATACAGAGTACCCAAAGAATGTCTGTTGGGATCTTTCACCAAACCTTGGATTACAGGAAAACCAAAAACATGCAGAAACGGGAAATCAGAGTACTCATATATGGTTGGTTATGAAAATAGATGAACCAAATACATAGGTTCCCAACTTTTGTTCTTCCAGGTGTTTTGGACTTCAGTGCCCATAATTCCTGACCATCACACAAGCTGGTAAGGATTTAGGAAACCGAAGTCCCATGACTTCACATATGTTTAGACTTGGTTTTATCTGTGCATATAATATCACAAAGGACTACTACCTCATCCGCCTCATAGGAAACCTGCTACAAAACAGGAGTTTTTTTGTTGAGTTCCAGGGCCAGAGAAGTAGATGGCGGAAAAAGAAGAACGGCCTGCTTCAGGGAAGCGTGCTTGCTCCATCCATGTTCAACATCTACACAAATGACCAGCCACTGCCAGAAGGGACAGAGAGTTTCATCTATGCTGATGATCATGCCATTACTGCTCAAGCAGAGAGCTTTGAGATGGTTGAACAGAAGATCTCTGAAGGTCTAGGTGCTCTTACTGCCTAAACCAGCTGATCCCTAATCCATCTAAAACACAGACATGTGCTTTTCACCTTAAGAACAGACAAGCATCCCGAGCTCTGAGGATTACCTGGGAAGGAATCCCACTGGAGCATTGCAGCGCACACAAATACCTGGGAGTCACTCTGGACAGTGCTCTTACCTACAAGAAGCACTGCCTGAACATCAAGCAAAAAGTGGGTGCTAGAAACAATATCATACGAAAGCTGACTGGCACAACCAGGGGATCACAACCAGACACAGTGAAGACATCTGCCCTTGTGCTATGCTACTCTGCTGCTGAGTATGCATGCCCCGTGTGGAACACATCTCACCACGCTAAAACAGTGGATGTGGCTCTTAATGAGACATGCCGCATTATCACGGGGTGTCTGCGCCCTACACCACTGGAAAAACTACACTGCCTGGCCGGTATTGCACCACCTGACATCCACCGGGAAGTAGCCGCCAATAGTGAAAGGACCAAGGCAGAGACATCTCCAGCTCACCCCCTATTTGGGTATCAGCCAGCACGTCAACGACTTAAATCTAGAAATAGTTTTCTAAGATCTACAGAGACACTCGCTGGAACACCTCAGCAAGCGAGAGTCCAAAAGTGGCAGGCTCAAACCCAGAACTTCAACCAATGGCTGATACCAAATGAGAGACTCCCCCCTGGGCACATAGAAGACTGGGTGACTTGGAAGGCGTTGAACAGACTGCGCTCTGGCACCACGAGATGCAGAGCCAATCTTAGGAAATGGGGCCACAAAGTGGAATCCACGACATGTGAGTGCAGAGAAGAGCAAACCACTGACCACCTGCTGCAATGCAACCTGAGCCCTGCCACATGCACAATGGACGACCTCCTTGCGGCAACACCAGAGGCACTCCAAGTGGCCAGATACTGGTCAAAGGACATTTAACCAACTACCAAGCTTGCAAACTTTGTGATTTGTTTGTTTGTTTGTTTAAAAATGCAATACAACTGTTTGGTTTGCTCCTGACACAATAAATAAATAAATAAATAAATAAATAACCCTTAACCTGACTTTGCTGCACACTGAGCAAAACCTGGGAACAACTCAGTTTTCCAGAAATGTTATTAAGGGTGAACCCCCCTTATACAAATTTTTTATTTTGCCCATTTGTTTGTTTGTTTTGTTCTGTTAGAAATGTAATACAATTGACTGGTTGCCCCTGACACGACAAATAAATAAATCTGTGTATATACAAAATTCCAAGCAGTCCAAAATCCCAAATACTCCTGATCCCAAGCATTTCCAATTAGACATGCTCAATCTGTATATCAATGTAAAAAATCAATAAAATAATAAACATACGCATAATAACAAATATAATTGCGGCGACATAGATTCCAAGGACCAACGCGACAGCCAGCTTGTACGCCCATTGTTTTTTTAATAATCGTTTGATTGGTTTCACTTGCTTATCAACTGCAGAGAAAGAAGAAAGAAAAAAAAAGCAAGAATAATCAGGATTGGAAATCTCACAACTCTCACACTAAATCATGTGTCCATTCAGTACTGAAGAGGCATAGGTTGGAATAATTAAATTCTGTGATATATGCTAATGATAACAAGTGTACTTTACAATAATTGCATGATGTGTATCAATCCCTGCTTCGATTTACAAACAACACTATGTATTGATAATTGCCTAATAGCTTAATATTAATGTAGATTGGCATAAGGTTGTTGTAGGTTTTTTCGGGCTATATGGCCATGTTCTAGAAGCATTCTCTCCTGACGTTTTGCCTGCATCTGTGGCAAGCATCCTCAGAGGTGTGAGGTTTGTTGGAAACTAGGAAAATTGTGTTTATATATCTGTTGAAGGTCCAGGGTGGGAGAAAGAACTCTTGTCTGTTGGAGCTAGGAGTGAATGTTTCAACTGGCCACCTTGATTAGCATTTGATGGCCTGGCAGTTTTTTGGTGTGGCTTGTTAGTTCCTGGGGGAATCTTTTGTTGAGAGGTGATTAGATGTCCTTGTTTGTTTCCTCTCTGTTGTTGTGCTGTTCTAATTTTAGAGTTTTTTAATACTGGTAGCCAGATTTTGTTCAATTTCATGGTTTCCTCCTTTCTGTTGAAATTGTCCACATGCTTATGGATTTTAATGGCTTCTCTGTGTAGCCTGACGTGGTGGTTGTGAGAATGGTCCAGCATTTCTGTGTTCTCAAATAAAATGCATGTGGACAATTTCAACAGAAAGGAGGAAACCATGAAAATGAACAAAATCTGGCTACCAGTATTAAAAAACTCAAAAATTACAACAGCAACACAACTACAGAGAGGGAACAAACAAGGACATCTAATCACCTCTCAACAAAAGATTGCTCTAGGCACTGTCCGGCTATTATATGCTAATCAAGGTGGTCAGTTGAAACATTCACACCTAGCTCCAGCAGACAAGAGTCCTTTGTCCCACCCTGGTCATTCCACAGATATATAAATCCTTTCCTAGTTCCAACAGACCTCACTACCTCTGAGGATGCTTGCCATAGATGCAGGCGAAACGTCAGGAGAGAATGCCTCTAGACCATTGCCATATATCCCAAAAAAACCTACAACAACCCAGTAACTTCTGTCTTAGAAGGAGCGCTTCTCCTTCACTTCTGTCTTCACCACCAACCATGTCTGTTTTAGGCCTCTTTACCAATTTCCCTTAAATCTAGAAATAGTTTTCTAAGATCTACAGAGACACTCGCTGGAACACCTCAGCAAGCGAGAGTCCAAAACTGGCAGGCTCAAACCCAGAACCTCAACCAATGGCTGATACCAAATGAGAGATTCCCCCCTGGGTACACAGAAGACTGGGTGACTTGGAAGGCGCTGAACAGACTGCGCTCTGGCACCACAAGATGCAGAGCCAATCTTAAGAAATGGGGCTACAAAGTGGAATCCTCGACATGCAAGTGTGGAGAAGAGCAAACCACTGACCACCTGCTGCAATGCAACTTGAGCCCTGCCACATGCACAATGGAGAACCTTCTTGCAGCAACTCCAAGTGGCCAGATACTGGTCAAAGGACATTTAATCAACTACCAAACTCACAAATTTTGTATTCTGTTTATTTGTTTGCTTGCTTTGTTCTGTTAGAAATGTAATATAATTTGACTGGCTGTCCTGATACGACAAATAAATAAATAAATAAATACCAATTTCTCTTTCCAGTACATTCTAAGACAGTGGTTCTCAACCTGGGGGTCGCGACCCCCCGAGGGGTCGCCTGGCCATTTCAGGGGGTCGCGAGGTTGCCTCCTTTGGCCCTGCCCCTCCAACTCCTGAAACCACCCTCTTCTCGTCTCCTTCAAGGCCTCCGCCACTGGTGGAAGCCTCAAAAAACGGCAAGAGGAGCGTGGAGCAGCGAGGATTGCCTTCACCTTTCTCTGGCCTCTTCCTTTTCCTCCTCTCCATTTGGGGACCTCCAAATGGAGAGGAGTAGAGGGAAAACGCTGGAAGAGAAGGAGGACAAGCCTCGCTGCTCCTGCTGCCCTGTGCCACCCTCTTCTCGCCCCTGCCACTGATGGAAGCCTCGAAAAGGGCGAGAGGAGCGTGGGCCAGCAGGAGCAGTGAGGCTTGCCCTCGCCCTTCTGCTCTGGGCTCCTCTTCCTCCTCCTCTTCGTTTGGGGACCTCCAGTATTTTCTGTTGGTCATGTGGGTTCTCTGTGCCAAGTTTGGTCCAGTTCTGTAATTTGTGGAGGGTCTCAGTGGTCTGTGGAAGTCAGAGTTGAATCGGTTGAAGGTACTTCAAACTACAAGAGAGGAGATTCCATCTGAACATGAGGAAGAACTTCCTGACTGTGAGAGCCGTTCAGCAGTGGAACTCTCTGCCCCGGAGTGTGGTGGAGGCTCCTTCATTGGAAGCTTTTAAGCAGAGGCTGGATGGCCATCTGTCAGGGGTGATTTGAATGCAATATTCCTGCTTCTTGGCAGGGGGTTGGACTGGATGGCCCATGAGGTCTCTTCCAACTCTTTGATTCTATGATTCTACTGCAAATCCCATCATCCATACTCCATACTCCCCCAAACAAATTGCTCTTGTGCTTTAATTAGGTTCAATTTGTAACAATTAAAATACATCCTGCATGTCAGATATTTATGTTATGATTCATAACAGTTGTGAAATTATAGTTCTAAAGTAGCAAGGAAAATAATGAAAATAATTTTATGGTTGGGGGTCACCATAACATGAGGAACTGAATTTGGGGGTCATGGCTTTAGAAAGGTTGAGAACCACTGTTCTAAGAAGTTCAGTGGACCACTTGAATGTCTATAACACGTCCATACATGCTGATTCCTTTGCATCTTTTGGTGTGTCTGTTGCATCGTTTGCATCTTTTCCTTTGGCGTCTTTTTCATCTTTGTCCGGCTTCGCTGCTAAAAAACAGAATATGTTTCCCATCAGTACTAAAATAGATGTAAGACAGCAAAGATAAACACATGAAATGCCTCTCTATACAATGCATGTGTCTAGTTAAGACAGTGTTTCTCAACCTGGGGGTGGGGACCCCTGTGGGGGTTGAGAGGGGGTGTCAGAGGGGTCGCCAAAGACCATCAGGAAACACAGTATTTTCTGTTGGTCATGGGGGTTCTCTGTGGGAAGCTTGGCTCAATTCTATCATTGGTGGGCTTCAGAATGCTCTTTGATTGTAGGTGAACTATAAATCCCAAATGTCAAGGTTTATTTTCCCCAAACTCCACCAGTGTTCATATTTGGGCATATTGAGTATTCATGCCAAGTTTGGTCCAGATCCATCATTGTTTGAGTCCACAGTGCTCTCTGGATGTAGGTGAACTACAACTCCCAAACTCAAGGTCAATGCCCACCAAACCCTTCCAGTATTTTCTGTTGGTCATGGGAATTCTGTGTACCAAGTTTGGCTTAATTCTATCGTTGGGAGTTCAGAATGCTCTTTGATTGTAGGTGAACTATAAATCCCAGCAACTACAACTCCCAAATGACAAAATCACCCCCCAACCCCACCAGTATTTAAATTTGGGCGTATCAGGTATTTGTGCCAAATTTTGACCAGTGAATGAAAATACATCCTGCATATCAGATATTTACATGACGGATTCGTAACAGTAGCAAAATTACAGTTAAGAAGTAGCAACAAAAATAATTTTATGGTTGGGGGTCACCACAACATGAGGAACTGTATTAAGTGGTCGCAGCATTAGGAAGGTTGAGAAACCCTGATCTAATTGCTTTAAGTCTTTACTTTAAAAGGCATCTTATATTTCAGCTATTCTGGAGAGGAAAGGGATATACGGTAGTGTTCTGTCGCACGCTGGGCCTGTAAATAATTGTCTTTAAGCAGGACGTGCGACTTTAGCCCAGTGGGAAGCCAGGGCCCCCCGAAGAGAAGTTCTCAGAGGTTTTCCACCACAAATGATCTTTAGATGGCTTGTGAAGTATAACAAAGTCCTTTATTAATGAACAATCAAACAGAAACTTCTCTTGTCTTCAGTAAAGTTAAACAAATGGTTCCAGGCTTTTATGCAACTGGTGGCTTCCTAATCTTGCTCACGAAGGACAGGCAACTGATTCTTTACTCTAAAGGAAAAACTTTTAACTTCTCCCAGGCTGACTGTAATCCTTACTGATGTGGGCTCCGCTACCGGGTCAAACTGCTTCTCGAGCACCGAGTGGACCTACCAGTAAAGGCTTGGATGTTCTCCATCTGGAGATCTTTGTTCTTGCAAACTGTTACCCTCCAAAATTCTTCAAAGCTTTAGGGCTGTTTCCCTGGAAATCTTTAGAATCTTTGGAGGCTCTTAAGACTGTTCTCCCCCGGAAAGTCTTAAGGGTTGAAGCTTTTGTACAGGGGAAGCTTGCACACGTCCTGTACATTAGCTTTCCTTGCTGAGACTAACTAAAAATGGCTCCCTTCCCAATTACCCTGAGCAAGGGGCGGAACCAAAAACTTAACGATGATGGACAGGAGCCCTGCCCTATGATTGCAAAACAGATAACAGAAGGAAAATAAAGTTGGAGCTCCTGGTACAGCTGTACCAGCACAGGTAGACTCTCCATTACCGGAACTTAAGCAGCCAGTCTCCAAGTCTCCAAGTGTTGTAGCCCACAATGTCGCTACTAGAGACTTTGCCCAAGGCCTTCCTGAAATCCAGATTTGCTACATCCACATCCTTCTTCCTCTTGAGTTTAAAATCCATTCCCTTATTGTAGATCCCACCCTAACTCTTGGGGCCAATCCTATGCCTTTCCCTCCTAATTTCAGGTTAACATTGGAGCTACTTTTTTTTTCATGTCAGGAGCGACTTGAGAAAGTGAAAGTTGCTTCTGGCGTGAGAGAATTGGTCGTCTGCAAGGACGTTGCCCAGGGGACATTGCCTGGATGTTTTGATGTTTTATCATTCTTGTGGGAGGGTTCTCTTATGTCCCCGCATGGGGAGCTGGAGCTGACAGAGAGAGCTCATCCGCACTCTCCCTGGATTCGAACCTGCGATCTGTTGGTTTTCAGTCCTGCCGACACAAGGATTTAACCCACTGCGCCACCGGGAGGTCCTATTGTCGCTACTAGGGATGTAACTTTGGTGGGAGTGACAAAATGAGGGCATTCCAACAAATATGAGTTTTGACCTTTCTTCCAAAGAAATGGTTCTTCCATCCCCAAATTTCTGGTATTGCAATGAATTAAAACCTCACTTGAATATCCAGAAATACTGTTTTGGACTCCAAAGAGCAAAGACAACTATAATCCTGCAAAGATAACACATAGGTAGAAGGAACAAACCTTCCTTGGCCGCTGGAGCTTTTTTGGGTGCCATTTTTGTTTCTTCGCTGTTAGTAATGTTTCATGGTGTTATCTGTTTGCAAAATGAAGGCAAGAGAATATTGTCAGATAGCTATCTCCAGATTGAGGCTAACATGGAACTAAAGCATGTTCTGTGTTGAATGTTTGAGCCAAGAGTAAGAGCAGTGGTGGTGTTACAGGGCGGGGGCTCTTTTCCATGGATAATCATTGAGCATGAAATATGGGATTCGTCGCAAATAAGGAGACTTTGTATGTTCGTTGGTCAAGAAATAATCATTTAGAGTTCAAAGGCTTCATAAAACACTCTACTTCTGGAAGCGCCTGGAAGTTGAAGTCCAAAATACCTGAAGGACCAGAACTCCATGCCACTATTTCTGTCCTATGGATGAAAAGGGCACCAGTTAAATGCTATTCTTGACCATTGACCATTGCCTTAGCCCAAAGGACTCTGGTTGCTTCCTGGGGATCACAACCAGACACAGTGAAGACATCTGCCCTTGCGCTGTGCTACTCTGCTGCTGAGTATGCATGCCCAGTGTGGAACACATCTCACCACGCTAAAACAGTGGATGTGGCTCTTAATGAGACATGCCGCATTATCACGGGGTGTCTGCGCCCTACACCACTGGAGAAATTACACTGCTTAGCCGGTATTGCACCACCTGACATCCGCCGGGAAGTAGCAGCCAATAGTGAAAGGACCAAGGCAGAGACATCTCCAGCTCATCCCCTGTTTGGGTATCAGCCAGCACGTCAACGACTTAAATCAAGACATAGTTTTCTTAGATTTACAGAGACACTCGCTGGAACACCCCAGCAAGCGAGAGTCCAAAAGTGGCAGGCCCAAACCCAGCACCTCAATTCATGGGTGATACCAGATGAGAGACTCCCCCCTGGGCACTCAGAAGACTGGGCGACTTGGAAGGCACTGAACAGACTGTGTTCTGGCACCACAAGATGCAGGGCCAATCTTAAGAAATGGGGCTACAAGGTGAAATCCTCGGCATGCGAGTGCGGAGAGGAGTAAACCACTGACCACCTGCTGCAATGCACCCTGAGCCCTGCCACATGCACAATGGAGGACCTTCTTGCGGCAACACCAGAGGCACTCCAAGTGGCCAGATACTGGTCAAAGGACATTTAACAAATACCAAATTTGCAAAATCTGTGTGTTTTCTTTTCCTTTTTCTTTTTAATCTGTGTGTTTGTTTTGCTCTGTTAGAATTGTAATACAATGGTTGCTGATGACACGATAAATAAATAGCCCAAAGGTTCCCAATGTTTGGTCCTCCAGATGTCTTGTACTTCAGCTCCCAGAATTCCCGACTCTTGGTCCATTCGGCTTGGACTTCTGGGAGCTGAAGTCTCAAACAGCTGGAGGACCAACAGTTGGGCACCACTGCTTTGGATGCAGAAGGCTAACTCAGAAGGTGAAGAGGGTTTGGTCCTCTGGGTGTCTTGGACTTTGTTGTACTCCAGACCAGGAGAAGCCCTCTGACTTTAAACACCACAGAGTTTAGTAGAAATGCAATCTGTTTATTGAAGATAATTAAAAAGCAGTAATAGTAAAAAGCACTGTAAAGGAATAGGTAAATCCAATTAAATAGGAAGATAAGCCAGAACAAATAGTCCAGGAAATTAGTCCATCAAAGTTCATGAAAATCAAAGGCAGAAACTTCTATAGTAAAATCCAAAAATTGGGAACATGAATCCAAAGGCACTTAACACATTAATCTTTCCAAAGCAAGGCTTCCAAGGAACAGGAACAAGGTCTTGACTTGATTCCAAATGATGCTTCATCTGACTACAGATTCTGTAGTTGGGATTTTTATCTCCTCATTACGCTATATCCCAAGCAGCCAGAAATGGGTTTTGTTTTAGCCTTGAATCCCTTATCATTCTTTCTTTGAGCCTGGCAGAATACCTGAGAGACTGATCTGCTTTTCTATTCTGGCTGTTAACTATCTATCTATTTGCTCATTAATTTCTGCAGCTGGGCCAGGTGCTGAGCTGTTCTCAGGCTCCACATCATGGGAATTTAGGGAACACACCATCATCCCCACTCCCTTCAGGAATATTCTCATGAGAAAATACACTTTGAACAGGGATCTCCTGGTCATTCTCTGCCTCAATATCATTGGAAACACCATTACCTTCATGAACCTCATTGTTATCTGGGTTGTTGTGGTTTTTTCGGGCTATATGGCCATGTTCTAGAGGCATTTTCTCCTGGCATTTCGCCTGCATCTATGGCAGGCATCCTCAGAGGTAGTGAAGTCTGTTGGAACTAGGAAAAATGGGTTTATATATCTGTGGAATGACCAGGGTGAGACAAAGGACTCCTGTCTGTTGGAGCTAGGTGTGAATGTTTCAACTGACTACCTTGACTAGCATTTGATGGCCTAGCAGTGCCTGGAGCAATCTTTTGTTGAGAAGTAATTAGATGTCCTTGTTTGTTTCCTCTCTGTTGTTGTGCTGTTCTAATTTTAGAGTTTTTTAAATACTGGTAGCCAGATTTTGTTCATTTTCATGGTTTCCTTTCTGTTGAAACTGCTGGACCACTCTCACAACCACCATGTCAGACTACACAGAGAAGCCATTGAAATACACAAGCATGTGGACAATTTCAACAGAAAGGAGGAAACCATGAAAAAGAACAAAATCTGGCTACCAGATCGTAAACCTGACCGGGGTATAGGTTGGCAACCTGCGTTGGACGGGGTTACACTCCCCCTGAAACCACAGGTCCGCAGTTTGGGAGTCCTCCTGGACTCATCGCTTACGCTTGAGGCTCAGGCGTTGGCGGTGTCTGGGAGGGCTTTCGCACAATTAAGACTCGTGCGCCAACTGCGACCGTACCTCGCGAAGGCTGATCTGGCCGGGGTGGTCCATGCCTTGGTCACCTCTAGGTTGGATTACTGTAATGCGCTCTACATGGGGCTGCCCTTTAAAATGGCTCGGAAATTCCAACTTGTCCAACGAGCAGCAGCCAGGATGTTAACTGGGGTCCCTTACAGAGAGAGGTCAACCCTCCTGTTCAAGGAGCTCCACTGGCTGCCATTTATCTTCCAAGCCCAATTTAAGGTGCAGGTGCTTACCTACAAAGCCCTGAACGGTTTGGGACCAGCCTACCTGCGTGACCGCATCTCCGTCTACGAACCCACACGTTCACTACGCTCATCTGGAGAGGCCCTGCTCGTGATCCCGCTGGCGTCGCAAGCACGTTTGGTGGGGACACGAGACAGGGCCTTTTCCGTGGTGGCCCCCCCGACTCTGGAACACTCTCCCCAAAGATCTTAGACAGGCCCCTACATTGGCAGTCTTCAGAAAGAACTTGAAGACCTGGCTGTTCCGATGTGCCTTCCCAGATTAGGAAATCTCCAATACCAAGTCCCAGAAGCACTTTATTAGAACTAAGATTGCTTAAGATTGCTGCACATCGCACTTGCCCTATAATCCTACATACCTCCTGTCACATCAGCACTTTTAATCCTGTACCCACTACTCTGGCCCGGCCCAATTTTATTGTGTCTTGGAGTATTGTTTTATTGCTGTTGTTTAATATTGCTTTAACTGTTTTTGATTTGCTTTAGGTTGTGTATTGTTATGCTATGTTTTGAGGCCTTGGCCTTCGTAAGCCGCATCGAGTCCTTTGGGAGATGCTAGCGGGGTACAAATAAAGATAATAATAATAATAATAATAATAATAATAATAAAATTGCAACAGTACAACAACAGAGAGGAAACAAACAAGGACATCTAATCACTTCTCAGCAAAAGTTTTCCCCAGGCACAGTCAGGCCATTGTATGCTAATCAAGGTGATCAGTTGAAACATTCACACCTAGCTCCAGCAAACAAGAGTCCTTTGTCTCACCCTGGTCATTCCACAGATATATAAACCCCTTTTCCTAGTTCCAACAGACCTCATTACCTCTGAGGATGCTTGCCATAGATGCAGGCAAAATGTCAGGAGAGAATGCCTCTAGAACATGGCCATATAGCCCGAAAAAACCACAACAACCCAGTGTTTCCAGCCATGAAAGCCTTCTACAACTCATTGTTATCATTACCCACATCCAAAGTACCCTGATCCTTAAACACAATCACAGGCTGAGCTCCAACAGACTTCAGCTCCCAGAATTCCTGACTCTTGGTCCAGTTGGGCTGGACTTCTGGGAGTTGAAGTCTCAAACAGCTGGAGGACCAACAGTTGGGCACCACAGCTTTGGATGCAGAAGGCTAACTCAGAAGGCGCAGAGGAGGAGCCATTCCCCCCATCAGCATTGCATTTCATTAAGAAACCCCAGACAGTGGGTCACCTTAACTTCTCCTCGGCCGTGTTTCTTCCTCCTGGTGTTTCCTCCTTCTGGAGCTTCCACATTCTTTCTTTGTGAGGTCGACTATTCCAGAACCCTTCTCATTCACCTTCTGCTTCTCTGTGATTGGATGTTGTTGGATCCAATCGGGATGCATCTCTTGCAGCCAGGTATTTAAAAAGGAGAGTTATGTGCAACTCCAAAGGTTGAACTTTGAACCATGAACTTCAAGTGGTGAGGCAGGTATTCTTCCACTGCCTACCAAAAATGTCTTTTTCCTGGTGTCTTGGCTTTTAAGCCAGTTCCTGGGGTTATTTGGGGGCACTCACCCAAAAATTCACATTGGATAAAGTACAGCAGCCCTCGTTTCTTACAAAATTTTAGTCTGCTCTTTAACAGACCTTTTCTACAAAATCAATTACAAGTTTTCTTACTTGGATTTCTTATTTAAATCTGTTGTTCTTAACCTATGGGACACAGACCACCAGTGGGCTGCAAAGACGAAAATCTGGTCCACGAGTCTCCTTCCTTTTTATCTTATTTTGTTTTATTTCTGCTCATTTCACACCACCTGCCACTCTTTCCTTGTCACTGAGTATGGCATACATTCTATATCAGAAACCAGAGCTGATGTGGTCTATCCAATGCAGTTTTCTGAATCAGCACCCCAAACTGAATCTAAAGTTGACCAAAACCTGATACGTAACTCTTTCGGTACTAATTTTGGCAAGTGGTCCATGGTCAAGTGGTCCCTGGTCAAAGTGGACCCTGGTCAAAGTGGTCCCTGGTCAAAAGGGAATTCTGCTGTCAAGAATTCAATGACTGCACGTTGCTTAAGTCGCATTGACCGACCGTCTGCGCAGGGTTCCATACTTTGAACTTTAACAACACAACCGTTCAATGCTAAGGCTTCCCGCCCAAATGGAACTGTAGAGGAGAGTCTACTGAACAAGCCAGTACCTGCTGCTTACCAGTACTCCCATCTGTTGAGAAGTTACGAAGGTGGAGACATTACTTTTCATTCATCCCTCGTAAAAGGAAGAGGGGGGATTTGAACTTCAATTCTTCTCTATATTGGTTTACAAAGCTTATTATAGTCCTTTTACTACTGCTTGCTGTGTTCCCAGCAGTGGCATCTTCAATCGACTCTCTTCTTTTTAAATCAATAGATTAACTTAGTTATCCTTCAACCAATCTGTAAAAAGGGTCCAGTCTGTTGTTTTTGTGTCTTCCATACGTCTTGGATACTAATGGTGTTAATTCGTAATATCTGCCATTTTCTCTATCCAAACGTCTCTTGATGGCAAATGTTTTTGTCTCCATACTCGGGCATAGGCCAACCTCGCTGCCATCGTTGCGGATGTAAAAAGTTTGTCTTTATTTGTAGACCACTTTGTGTTTGTCATCCCTAGTAAAAAAATTACTCAGGGCGCAAAAGCAATTTCTCTTTTAAAATCTTTTGACAAAGTTTGTGGATTTCTTTCCAAAACCCTCTTGCTTTATCACACGACCACTGAAGGAACCAAAGTTGGAAAAAAAGGAATACCCCCTCCCATTTGAGAAGGAGCAACACGTATTGTGTCTGTTTATCTTTTGTAGTGCCTAATTTGGTAGAATGCACTACCAGCCAATGAAAGTAGAAGATTTTATAATATGACCAAATATGGGAAACTTGATCTAGGCTAGAACTGTGACCTTGTCGTCGAGGGCATCCCAGGCCCCTGCCTTCAAGCTGGTGTGACCCGCTGCAGGGAGTTCCGCAGTTCCTGGATGCCAAACTGGGCCAAACTGATGAAATGTGCCCCAACAGCAAGCTCAACCAGGGACTCTACACAGCCGTGTGCTCTCTCCTTTCACTTCCTTGCTAGCCCCAACAATGTCACAAATCCCTAAATAAAGATTAATGAAACTGCAACTTTTAAATTCTCTAGCTTGATAGTTTGTGTCTCTTTCTTGCCTGAAACTATCCAAATGCATGAAACTAATATTTTCATACTAGAGACAAAGTTGAAGTACTTTGGCCACATCATGAGGAGACAGCGAAGCCTAGAGAAGACAATTATGCTGGGGAAAGTGGAAGGCAAAAGGAAGAGGGGCCGACCAAGGGCAAGATGGATGGATGGATGGCATCCTTGAAGTGACTGGACTGACCTGGAAGGAGCTGGGGGTGGTGACGGCCGACAGGGAGCTCTGGCGTGGGCTGGTCCATGAGGTCACGAAGAGTCAGAGACGACTGAACGAATGAACAACAACAAATATTTTCCAGGCCGCGGGAGATTGCAGGCCTGCCCGGAATGCCTTCCTGGCAGGATATGGAAACTACAAGAAGACAATGGATTCCCACCAATACAAAAAAAACACAAATCCACTAAAAGTTGTGGTACATAAATGACAACGGTCGATATTGCCTAACAGTTTGTATATTACAATATTCAACAAACGACAAATTTATATGGTATAGGCAAAAAACAGTGTATAATGAACAACCAGTTGTTTACAAAGATTACACATACATAACATAAATAGTCTTTTGGTGTAAAGACAACTTGTCTTCAGGGCATAAGATCCCTTGCTTTAGAGTAAGCATAATGTAAAGAGTCTTTCTTGGTGTAAAACCAACTTCTCTTCAGGGCATAGGATCCCTTGCTTTAGAAAATTTTTCGGATATCCACATCCACGACCGGTTTCGACTAGAGTCTTCCTCAGGTGGATATATGAGACATCAAGTTCTTCACAATAGTAATCCCTCCTCGGGTGTTTTATACAATGGGACAGTGGATCTATAGGGAAAATACAAAGGTGGCTAGAGTATGTCTCAAAGGGGGATAAACATTTGTATGTATTACTCACATAACAACAAAGGACAAATAAACAGGCATAGGTTACTTACAGGAACTCAGAAGCCGTGCTCTGCAGCAGTTTGATTCTCTAGCAAGCACAAAGGTCATCAGGTAGAAACTAGTTTATAAAGTAACCCAGTTAAAGGGGCTCCAACCAGGTAGATCAAGTCAAGAATGTGTTAAAGGGCTATGTACTCTGATTTATAAGAAACACTGATATGAGATGGTATCATTCAGACCCTTGGGATGTGCAGTCTTCAGGGTGAAGATCCAAAAGGCTTCACGCTGTAGTAATTTAATGCCAAAATCCAAATTGGAGGGGGGTGTGACAACCTCCAAAACAAGCACCCGGAGTGAATCTGCATCATGATTTAAATCCACAAAATGTTTATAGAAAGTGGAATCCACGGAGCGATTTCTAATTTTGCTCTTATGCTCTATGATCCTTTGTTTGATCTGTCTACTTGTTTGGCCTATGTACATAAGCGAGCATGGGCAAAAAACAATGTAAACCACTCCCTTGGTGGTACAAGTAGCAAAATGTTTTATTGGGTAGGCCCCCAGGGGCCCCCGTATCTGCGAGATAGCGGATAGCCTCCATTTTGATGGCATATTTTTCCTAGCTTAATTTTAACACTATCTACTATCTCACTTTTTGCATTTCGGACTTCTACGCTCGGGGAATAACCTTTTAAATTTTAAGAATATAATTCCAAGGGAACAGCTGATTGTCAAAAGACCAGCCTCGCTGCTGCTGTGCTGCCGCTGCCTCTTGCCACTTCCTCGCCTTTGCCAAGCCCCTGCCCTGGAGACTTGGTGTGGCTACCCCACGAGGCTTTCGGGGAACAGCCTGGCTTTGGAGCTCCAGCCCTTGGAGGGAGTTCTAGTTTCCCCAAGGACCGAGGACTGGCTTGATCTCAGCGCTGCAGGACTCCATCCTTTGGCTCAGTGGGAATCTCCAGACTCCCTTTGTGACTGTTGGACTCTCTGCAAGACATTTTAGACTCTAAGGAACTCATTTTCACATATGAATTTCCCCCGTATGAACTATGGACACATGTTCTTCTGAAATTATTATTTTAATCAATTTTTCTGGCGGGTGGGGGAGGGAGGGAGGTGTTTGATATGAATTTCATGTGATTCCTATATTTCCCCATGTAATTTTCTTCATATTTTTGACCTGCTTCGGAACCCTTTGCCCGTTTGCCCCTTTTCCCCTCCCCTTGGGGGAAATCAACCAGGAAGCTGCCAGCTGTTCTGAAAAGGCAATCAGCAATCACAAAAGGATCCTTATCTTGATACTTGTGCATGGAAACACAGAACTGGAAGCCTTTTGTTTGGTCTCAGAGTCAGCCCGCCAGACAAAGGGATTCACTTGGCAAACTATTGATCACTTCACGCTGGGGGGCAGGAGACCCTCAAAAAGTCTTCTCCTTCCGAAACTGTTTTTTTTTTCAAAACTCTTCACAACGGACATTCACCCCATTCTCTTCATTGTGTCATATCTGATGGCGACAGGAAAACTCGGATTAAGCAATCATTATTTATCGCCCACCCATCAAGGGACAATAGACATGGCTTCTTTTGCAGGCCGGTTTGCGGACTCAAGGGCCCCAAGGCATCAAAATCCACATTGGGACACACATTGGCCCTCCTCCAGTCTGCTGGGACTTCTCCTGTTCTCCAAGAACTCTCAAAAATGATTGCCAATGGTTCCTAGATGACTTCCGCTAGATCCTTCAATACTCTTGGGTGTAGTTGATCTGGCCCTGGGGACTTGAACTCATTTAGAGCAGCCAGGTATTCCTGAGTGACTTGTTTCCCAATTTGGGGTTGGATGCCTTCTCAGTGGTGGCCCCACGACTCTGGAACTCCCTCCCCAAGGACATCAGGCATGCCCCAACTTTGGCAGTCTTTAGAAGGAGCTTGAAAACGTGGATGTTCCAGTGTGCCTTCTCAGAATAAGGAATCCCAAATGCACTTTACGAGAGATTTAGAATTGTCTGCACGCCCACCTATCCCTAAAATATCCAT